AGTAATATCAACGTTTTATACATCCAGATATAAGTTATTTACACTATTTTAAGCGTTCATTACACACAATTTGTAACAATGTGTTACTTTTGCTGAATAGAGATCAGTTTAGGAAGGTGTTTTCAAGAATCGATACACAAGAGAGTTACGGGGCGTTATAAATAAAAAAATTCTTTTTGTCAGCAATTAGAGCTACAGACTTAAAATTTAACAAATATGGTTTTTTTGTTCAGCTGAGATATGAAAAAAGCTTTTTTTTTGTATAATTTGCAATTCACGTAAAATTAACTCGTTAAAAACTTCTTTATCCTTCAATTTGTATTGTTAAATTTTTCAACTCACCCGTGCGAAGAACGGGTATACCAGCTAGTATATATAGGGAGAGAGTGAACTAATAATAGGAAATGAATAATTTTTACGGAAAAAAATGTAAATCAATTTACTGTATGAAGAAAGATACTTCCCTCTCAAATACCTACCTTAAAATTAATTCTCTCAAACGTTTCAATAAAACCAAAAAAATTCTTTTTCTAGTATGAATTCTTTCGAAAAGAGAAAGGAAACGGTTTTGGATAATCCATATTCTTAAAAATAAGTAGTAAGTAAAATTAATAAAGGTTGTAAATTTTAGAGTTATATATTTGGAAAAATAATTATTGATTTATGTGTAAGTAAACACATGCTAATTACTTACAGCTCAAGACGAAATTAATCAAATTATAAACTAACTAACTTATTATTTTTATCACCTCTTGAGAAACTTATCTAAGAATTGTATGTATAAATGTTTATTACGTTAATAAATTAATTCTTAAAGTGATTTATAAGCACATCATTAATCATGAAGAAAGAATCGAAGTATTTAATCCTATATGCGAGAAGAGCTTTCTTGTTTTAGAAATAGTTATCTTAATTTGAAAAATCAGTATCCATTGCAGTAAAATTATATTTTAAACTATACACGCGCATATTTTAACATAAATCACATAATATTTATGATTATAATCGTGATTTTCTTAAATAAAGACTTTAATCGAACATTACGGTTTATGAGTTCCAGTAGAAAAATGAAAGTGATTTATCGAACATATAATATAAAGTTTTAGTTAATTTTGTACATATGAGAATACCCGAGATAAATTAATTTCAAGGTGTAACAATAATAATTCAATCAAATTTTATAAAATTTTCATAATGTAATATATATATAAGTGTTGAATATCTTTATAAAAGCAAATAAAGTTAAAATGCATATGTTTTTACTATACCATTAAATACCGTTCATTTATTAAAAATTAGGAGCCCGTGGTAACCGTGGTCATGAACTCATAACCGGAGACGTTTCTGTCGAGTTGTGAGTTCGAGTCCCGGTACTACTGAAGAACCACGTTGTCGTGGTTCAAAGTCCTCCCATGGCGTGGTGTGGTTATGAAGAGGAGAGATGTCATCTCAAGTCCTCCTTGACCGAGGTTTAAAATTACGTGGTCCGTCGTTAATCGTCTTGGTGTGACCAAAAAGTGCGGTGTTAACCCGGGAGCAGTCGCGCGGGGCACAGAATCACCCCAGGCTCACGAAATCTTTAACTCTGGGAGAACTGTTTATTTGTTATTAATGACCTAGTCAGTTTCCTCCTATATGACAGTCTTCATGTGAACTAAAATGTATTTGTCACATATCTCCCTATTTTTGGGAAAGGCAAACTTTTTTACAATCTTAAGGTGCTTGGGGTGACTGAGCTCCCCGTGCAACCACTTATGTTCCAAAATATTTTCTATGAATTACATTCCCCCCCCCCGTGACTGACTTAGTGAATTTGATAGCTGTGTTGTTTAATTCATTATGGTTTATAAAAGTAAATGAACAGAATATAAAAATAGAAATGGGTGTCTTAAATCTCTATTGGATGAAGTTGAAACTGATGAAACAAGGGAAGAACTTGTTGAATTAATCGATATTAATCATGATAGCGAAAGTAAATTTCTGAAAAGCGATTAACACATGAAACGTTTGAGTTGAAAGGAGAATTTTCAAATGCTACCTAAAAAACTTCATCAAGAAAGATATGAAGCCAAAAGTGTGCCACAAGACACACTGCATCTTGTCAAAAAGACACAAGCAAGAAAAAGTTCAGCATGCTATTTGTCTATCATCAAAGGACAGTAAAACTTCAATAACTTGAACACATTACAAGAGATTTACCTGCAAATATCATTGCGGTAATGTTAGTGAAAAGTGTCTGTGATTTGTGTTATTTATTAAAGTAACACACATTGTGGAAACATTTTAATTCAGTTCGATTGCATTTTTTCTCAAATTATCAAAGAAAAATTGGAGAATCCATAAAAGTAGGTAAGTATATTTTCTCTTAGTTAAATTATTCACTGGAATTACGATATTTGTCGTGTACAATAAAATAATTATAAAACAAGAGGATTGGGGTGACTCCGTCACCCTGAAACGACCACTAACGTTAGTGTAGAAAGTGCGCCTTCTCCCGGGTTAATAATAGAAGACTTTTCATATGTGCACATATGTTTCTTCTGGAAATTAAACGTGTAGTTGCGGTAGACCCGTGAGGGGCAGCGGTAGCCCAGTGGTTAAGGTATCGGATCGTGGCTGGCATGTCATAAGTTCAGCCCAGTACCACTAAAGACCCGCCGTGTATGGGAGTGAGTGAGTGAATATTAACGTCGCACTGATCAGCAACACGAGGGCTTTTGGCGACGGTCCACGTAATTTACCGTGTATGGGAGAGATGCACGTTAAATCAGTAGAGAGCTCAAACAACCTCCCGTTGGTGTGGTGTGGTGTGGTAGTTACGAAGTCCGTCGCCAACAGCTTTCATGTAACTGAACAGTGTGATGCTAATGTTCACTCATTCACGTGGTAGACCCGTGTTCATGGTCGAGAACTAGTGATCGACATTGTTTCTGTCAAGTTGTGGGTTCCAATGCTGATACCGCTGAAAATCCGCCAAGTACAGAAGCTGATACACTCTAAATTAGTCCAGGCTTCAAATGCTAACGTTGGCGCGATGCGAAAGTTTGGAGAGAGGGTGCCAACATGTCTCCTTGATCGCGATTTAGAAATATGAGGTCCGTTGCCAGTAACCCTCGATTAGCTTCAATATGAAGAGTTGATTCATTGTTGATTCAGAAAATTGCTTTATATAAAAAAGCTCAAACCTAGCTTGATTTTTAATTTACGTCACACGCTGAAGTAACACTCTAAGTAATGCTCTATTGGTGGCGATCCTCGTTATTCTGAATCACAGTCAAGTGACGAGGTTGAAACTTAACATCCCAATCTGCAAACTTCCCCACCACGGGCTCTAACTCATCGCAGAAGTTGATAATACGAATAACTCTCCTTCATCAGAATATTTTAGTGTTCTTTTATTCAGAAATTCAAGCTAAGTAATTAATTATGTATGATTTACAGAATATTCTACGTTGATTATTAAAAGTATGGCTAAAGTCTAAGAGTCTGAATTAGATCGAAAAGCTTATTTGTACTTTATCTTTCATGGCTAAGAAAGATTATTTCTCTAGTTCTTTTTGAAAAAAAATCTCTGGTTACCTTGGGATAAGAATCTAATCAAGAAACTGGAGTAACCGGATCCGTATAGACCAAGAACATGCTCCGAGGAGTAACTAAATAGCATCCTATGAGCTCCGGATGCTTAAGACTTTTCCTCTGTAGACCAGAATACATCATCATCATAATCGAGAAAACTCTTATTTTTCGCCCGACATCTTTTTATTAATGGAATAGTGTTTCTCTCGAACAGATGCTCTTTTCGTTAGGGTTTAGAGGGAAAAAATATTGATTTGGACTGCTTTTTTTAAAAAAAAAAGTGATATGGTTAAATTAAAATGTGTTTCTCAAGTTATTAAAAAATAACCCATGCAATAAAAAAGTGCGGTGTAAAATGTTTAGTAATTTTCTGTTGTTTCTCACGTATTTAGTGAGAAAAGGAAAAATGTTTACTTTTTTTTTGGTATAAGTATTCTTTTTATTTAATTATGAAGTGTTGAAAGAGTAAGGTAAATTTCATTTTTCATAATCATATCGTTCTTTTAAGAAATATGATTCAGTAGTTTAATTCAAATAGAATCATGCAATATTTAAGTGTCGTAAAGTTTTTAATATTTTTTTTTTTCTATTATAAATTTTGCGAAAAAGGGAGAAAATATTATTTTTTGTGTGTGTGGGGTACATTTTTAATTTAACTTCAAAGTATTTGTAATAATAAAGTAAACATAAGTCTTTAACAAGTAATATAAAAACATTAAGTCAATTCCTACTTAGGTCAACAAAGAAAATTTTTATTTTAGTTACTTTTTATTAAATAGTTGTGATTATAATATATAAATATGTATATACATATGATAGAATCACAATATTAAGAGACAAAATAGAAAGCGATTTTCCTTGCAATTTTCCAATTTCCTTTCTATATAGGGTGTTGGATTATTTTTTTTGTTTGTTTCTATTTATTCAATCATTAAATTTTAATTATTCTAATAAAACAATACAGAAATCACATTTCCAGAAATTAGGCCATCCCAGGTGGGATTCGAACCCACGACCTTTGGATTAGGAGGCCAGCGTTCTATCCATTGCACTACAGGGACACAATAAATGAATTTCCTTTCTATATATGTTGTTGGACTATTATTTTTGTTTGTTACTATTTATTCATTTTTAATTTAATTAATGAATTAATATTTGAGAAAAAGTTTTATAAACATTAAATGTCATCCATTACAAGTCAAATTTTTTTTTAACTTGAATGGGGGGGGGGAGATAAATAGAAAGTATTTTATTAACGATTGAAAATTTGAATAAGATATATATATATATAGGGAAAGAGAGTGAAATAATAGTAGGAATTGAAAAAAAGGGAAATATAAATTGTGTGAAATGTGTGTATTTAATGGTCGTTCTTTGCATCTTTTGCAGTAAAATATTTTTCTGTTATGGATTCAAAGAACATTACACAGCAGTGGTAGCCAGTAGTTATGGTCAGGACCACGTGGCCGGAAGTGTCATGAGTTCGAGCTCTAGTGCCACTGAAGACCCGCCGTGTAGACGCGGTTCAAAGTCTTCCCGTCAACTTAGTGTGGTAATTCGGAGAGGGAGGTGTCAGCTCAGGGGTCACCCTCGTCACTTGACCGAGGTTAAAAATTACGAGTTCCATCGCCTATATCCCTCGAGTTGCTGAAAACGCGACGTTAATAAACACTCACTGGGAGTATTATTAACTCCTTGAGTATCAGACTGCGCTTTCTAGAGTACTCACAAATCCCAGATTTCTGGGGATACTGACCTTGACTTTGGGGCACACATTTACTTTTTCCTTTTCATACTGACAACGGCGCAAGTTCTTTGGTATTTCGTCTTCCCTTTCTAATGTTTGTTTAACTATTTTTGTTGTTTATTTTTACTTTTTCTTGCAAATATCCTTGCCAATACTGAATGGGAATATTTCCCGGAAACCGATGAATGCGATATTGACTTTGATTCGGATTTATCTATTTGTGATGAAGAAGATGAAGAACTGAACTGAACTTAGTGGCGCAACAGCCCATGAGGGTCATGACCTACTGTGCCTATCTCAGTTTGTGACCTTAGGTGATGGGGTGCATGTGTGCAGATGTTTCGGTCAAGTGGTTAGTCTGAAGCGAAACCCCCAGTGTTCAGTTCTCAAGCAAGCTCTTGATACTCATTTATTGACCCACTGCAGGGATGAAAGGCTGAGTTGACCTTGCCCAGCCCGGGATTTGAATATTACCTCTCAGCCACTGGGCTTCGAAGATGAACAAACGGAACAAAAATGATAATACACTTATGTAATGCATGTGGGAAAACTTTTTGTTCCAGGGAACATTTCGAGCATTTTCACAAAAATCTGCAATTTTAATTCTAATTTTCATGCTTTTTCAAATGTTTGTATCCCAGACGTTTTGTAACTTAACTTTTGTAAGTTTACACAATCCCAATAAAAGAAAATCTACCTTATAATGTTTCCTGTGCTTATTACACTATTTTGACACCTAAATAAGCCATGTACCCACATGAAATTACAATGGAATTTTCCCCTATACATAGTATGTATGCACTAGTGGTTACAGGGTACGCAAAGGGTTAATTTTAATTCCTTTTTCTTATTTAACTAAGTAGATTCGAATAAAAACCTTCCAATTTACAAACACGTTATGTAGAGGGGCTGATGCATGTCAAATCTAAGGAGGCTCAAAGTCCTCTTTTTGGAGTAGTTAAAGTGTGAGGTGCAAATTAAGGGTTCGTCCTCGGCACTTGACCGAGGTTCAGAATTACGAGGCTTGTCACCAATAGCTTTCGTGTTGCGTGCGACGTAAGTTAAAATCAAATGAAACTATTTTTGATACGACTGTGACGTTTTCGCGACACAGATCTGAAAAAGCAGCCTCTTGTGGATAGTATAACAGTGTCCCCTATGCACACGTGCACCCCTAAATATTGCGGAGTCCTATCTTCTGTCATTGCCCCGGCAACCTTTGACCGTGAGAAAATCCCACTCCGCCCACGAACCGGATGTAATTTGAGGAAGAAAGGGCCGTAACCCCTATCCAACCCCGGAGAGGGCAGAAAGGGAGTCCGTTGGAAAACACTAAGCAAAACGCGCGGTTGTGGCCTCCTCCCTCATAAATACCATATTCTGAACCCTAATGAAATAAATAACATTTTGAATAACTTCAATGTGAATTTTTATACTATAATTAATAGATGTGATGTAAATTGACCCCCCCCCCAATATTTAAATACATAACTTTCAAGATACCATTAATTTTCTCAAACGTCACACGATTGTTATGTAAATATGAGAACATTTATAGCTATACTCATATTTTTTTAATGAATGTTATATATATATATATATATATATATATAATATTTGGTATAGAACTTAAAAATAAATTATAATGAATGCTCACACAAGTTCATATATGTGTGAAGAAATAACAATATTTTCAATTATGGCAAATCTTTTAAAAAGAATTACAGTTGTTTCATATGTCATTCTTACCAAATGAAGAAAGTATTTTATTTTCTGAATGATGTCTGCTTTATTTTTTTTTATGAGAAATTATGAAAAAAAAATAATGCAGCTCTTTCAGTAATACGATCATAGCCCAAGCTAGTTTCTAGACATAAATATTGTCTTTATTAAAAAACTTTTAAGTAATACTCTCTATAATTAATGTTTATAAGTAATTTGAAAGTTTTCCTTACAAAATTACTTGGAAAATATAAATTCAATCTTGAGTTTTAAGAATACTTTTTAGCTGATTTCGGAAAAGTCTATTTTAAAAGATTTTAAGTCGTTAAGTGAATTTCATTGATAAAATTACGGGTAGTAAATTTTTAGAAATAGTTAATATAAACAACATTTCTAACGACACTGAAATGCAATTTGAATTTCGTATAAACTACATCAAGTTTATGTATAAAATTTTTCAATTCCATTATTAAAAGTTAAGAGATTCTTGGAAATCTGAGCCTGGTTATTTAGTTTAGATGAAACATTAAAAATAGACACATCATTATAAAATATACAGTTTCTGTAAAAATACTTGAAATCTTTAAAAAAAAACTGAACATTTTGTATACTATATTCTAAATAGTTTTAAAGGAAAATGATAATTTATTCGTCTAAGAAATTCATTTACTGGAGAAAAGTATACTTACTAATAAGGCATGCATATTTTTAAAACAAAGTTCTTTGAAAAATACACGTTTCAAAAATTTGATTACAGATATTTGCAATTTAACATCAGCATTAATTTTTAAGGGATACAGTTGGACCCCGATCAAACGAATTCGTCGGGACTGAACATTTTATTAGTTAATTCAAGGTTATTCGTAACATCGGCGTCCAAAAAATACAAAATTTTGCACTTACCTTGTGACGGATCTATACGCGTCCTCTCATTAACTCCTTGTGGATTCCTTTAGGACATGCATTCTTTCAACCAACTTTCACCGAAGGCAAGAAAACGTGATTATGCAAATTAAGTTTAATATAAATATTCTGTATTCGCGATTTTTTAAAGTTAGTGAAGTGAAAATTGAAGATTAGTGAAGTGAGCATAGGTCGGATGTGAAGTGAATTAATAAGAAGCTAGCAATCTGGCAGTAGTACGTAAACAGTGTACGACGCGTGAAGTTGGAATCTCTAAAGAGTGCTGAAACCAACTATTAGTGTTCAAGGCTACGTCGAATAGTTGAAAGGATTGTAAGAATTCAGGAACATAGAACGTCGTTTATCCGAATCAATTGGGACCGGACACCGTTCGGATAACCGAAAACCAAACGCGATCCATGCAATATATGATACTGGACACTATACAAATATTGAAAATCATCACAGGGCAGGAAAGATGCTTGAAGAAAAAGCAAAATAGGTGCAAAATGTCGCAATTTTACCTTGATTGTGGAAAATGATCACTTATTCTTCGCTGTACCACTGTACACCTTCGTTTTTCAATGCAAGGTCTCTGATTCTCATCAGCAGCAGTTGAGTAGGACAGTACTCTGATGGTTGTTCGTACCACTCCTTAGCTGTCTCTAACGCAAAAAAAAAAAAAAAAACGTTAGAATTTAATGGACCTTTGCTACTTTCGTTGTTATTGTTGTCCTCGTCTTCATCCGTTTCATCGTCGACATGGTCGAATTCTTCTGGCACGGAAGTCACTATCTCGTCATTATTTAGCATTTGAAATCCACAGTCTTCTGCATCGCATGCCATCTAGGTTTCTACATCAACAAACTCAACAAAAGAGCCCGTATACACCCCCTCACAAACTGACCTAATATTCTGCGCAGATCTTTACTAAATCACACAACTGAAATTCCCCAAATGTCCCTCACCTTGGGTTTTCCGGTCACTTTTGGCCTCACAGGAAACAAATGTTTAGCATTGCACTGTTCGAAAACGTATCCGGATTTTAGTTCGGATATTTGACGCTCCGGATAATAAACGTTCGCATAAACGACGTTCTACTGTACTGTAATTTTAGTTTAAATAGAAGTTAGAGAGTTAAATCATTGACAAGCTTCTTAAATCAAGCATTGTATAAGTTATCGTAAGGATATTCCCATGATCGTAGATATTGTCCCCACGCTATCTTGTCTCACCTTCGCGCTCTAGTTGATCAAATTTATCTTAATAAGAGTGTTATTTGTGTCTGTTTTAAATATAGAAATAAATAAATAATTTGAGTTCATCATGTAGTCTGATCATTTAGTTCCTCCTACACATCGAGATGGGTCACAGGGAACAAGGAATAATAATTTCTTACAATCTTTTGAAAATTTTGTAATAAAAAATTACACAAAATATATCATATTACACACATTTATTCAGCAGCTAAATATATTATTAATGAATTATTACACACCAGTTGATTGGAAGTTTTAAAATATGAACAGATAGATATTTGACAAGCTTTTAGATACCTAACTCGAAAGAGAGTCTTTTTGGACAGTATGCAGAGAAGAAAATATTGAATCATTTACATCCTGCTCCATAAGTTATGTTTTCTCACAATTTCCAAAAAAAATAAATAAATAAATAAAAAGTAACATATTA